TGTCTTTAAATGTTTTTTTTTTGAGTTGGAGTCTCACTCTGTCACCTAGGCTGGAGAGCAGTGGCACACTCTAGGCCACCACAGCCTCAACCTGCTGGGCTCCAGTGATCCTTCCGCCTCAGCGATCCTTCCGCCTCAGCCTTCCAAGTAGCTGGAACTACAGGCGTGTGATACCATACCCGGCTAATTTTTTATTTATTGTAGAGACAATGTCTTACCAAGTTGCCCGGGTGGGTCTCGAACCCACGGGCTCAGGCAATCCACTCGCCTCGGCCTCCCAAAGTGCTGGGATTACAGGCTGAGCCACCGATCCCAGCCTAGATGTTTTAAAATTAGCTGTATCTTAGTTCAGCTTCCCTCAAAAGCAGCCACTGAGACCAGGGTTTGGGTGCATGTTGGTTTATCTGCAAGGTGCTCCAGCAAGCATGGTGTGGGGTGCAAAGTGCCCGAGAGGGAGGAGAGCCAGAGAAGGACATGTGAGGGAGCAGAATACCACTCTGGGCAGCCGGGGCTCCAGTATACAGGGGGGAGCCTCCAGGAGGCTGTGCAGGATAGACTTCAAAATTGGCCCACTCAGGGTTGAGGAAGCTGGGGTGTTTGTCCACCAGCTCCTGCCCCTCAAGCAGGGAAACACAAGTGCTTGAGGGAGGAAAGCTTTTGTATATAAAGGACCATCTGCTTATGCTGCAATGGCTCCAGAAGAATGAGACACAGCGAGGAGGGCATCTACTACAGCTGTATACATTTAAAAATCAGATTTCTCACTAAAATTTATGAGAATCACAAAAATGTCAGAAAACCTGGGCTTGCATTCCCACATAGAATGGCAAGCTGCTGCCCTCTTCAGAGACTGACATTCTTGGTGTGCCACACTCCCTAACACTCCCTTACGTCTTTTGCCTAAGTCAGGTATTTGTTTGCTTTATTTTTTAACACCCAACCCACTTCCTTCTTCTATGTTATCTGCCTGGAGTTTGCTATCCTTTGAGGAGGAGACAGGCTGATGTTGTACACAGGCCAAGTAGCCTTCAGAGACAACAGTTGATTTCCTGGGACCAAATCGTTAAATATGAAGCTGTAACAGGAACCTGAAGGCCTCTCTTGACAGCCTGCCCAGCTCTCATTATGACATTTAGCCTGTGATTGATATTGTGTGTGTCATTGAGACCTTGGCAGTTAATCTCTGGGTCGAATCTATGGAAACCAAACAGAACAGATTTGTCTTCCCCTTCCACTTTGGCTGTGATCTGGGAAACAGACGCTCCTGGCCTCTCTGAGAATTAGAGATTTGGGAGCCATGCAGAGAGGGATGCACACAAGCCGCCTTCAGGATTTGGAAAGATTACAGGTCTGTGGTTTCTGGACGGCTCCACGCTTTGTTCTCTTTCCCCATCAAATCTGCACGCTAGAGGATAATAGATCCCAGAGCTCCCTCTGCGTGCCAAGCTGCTCTGGGTAGACCGCACCACTTCCTCTTCTGTCTAGAAATCCAGCCGAAGCTTTCAGCACAAAGATGGGGTTGGGGATGGTTTCCCCACAGTAAAACGAGGGAGGAATAGCCTCACCAAGGGTGAGGTCAGCTTCAGTGATCAAAGGAGGCAGATGGAGGTTTCAAAATGGAATTTACTCCAGCACCTCCCTAAAATCACCTCTTCCAAAGCCTCTGTTAGTGGCAGGCAGGGTTCAAAATGGCCTGAACCACCCATTTGGGTATATGGTGCCAGCTTCTACTCACTTTGAAACAAGAAAAGTGGGTGAGCTTCAGACCTCTCGAAATCAAGGCCCCTGCAGGCCTTGAAGCAAGAAGAGCTGTAGATACAGCTCTTGGAAGACTAAGTGGTCTGGGCTGGTTCCAGCAAGAGAGGTCTCTGGCCGTCCCTTGGCATAATTTCTTCCTTTTTGACTGGAAACGCAGCAGGCAGGCCCCAGAGTCAAGTTCAGGCCTGACCAACCACCTGCTACAGGGGGTGTCCACTCTGGACTCTGCTCTTCTCTCACCTTCACCTTCTTCCTCCTCCACATCAGCCCAGAGGCTCACTGACTGAGTCCCTAGCACAGGCCCCATAGCCCTTAATCGGTCATTTGCCCCTCACTGATTCATTCATTCCATTCATTCACTAAGTCATTCCCACATTAAACAAATCTTTGCTAAGCACCTCCAACGTGCCAGACACGAGGCTACAGAGAAAAAAAACCATAAAGAAGCCCTGGAGCAAGGTCCTCCTTCCCTCTCTCCTCCCAGGCCTGCACTGGCATTCTGGGCCAAAGCCCTGGCCTCCCATCTCACTGAGATGGCAGGAGGCATTTTGAATGAGCACCCTCACTACCTTTCCCTTGAGTCAACAGCTCCTTAGCCATATGTCAGCCAATTATCATCAGACTCACTTAGGAGCTTGTTAAAAATACAGACACCTAGGCCCTTACCCCCGGTCCAGTGTGTAGCCCAGGTATCTGTATTTTTAGCCACTACCAGGTGATGCTGACAGAGGTGGTCTTTAGGCTACACTTCGAGAGACTCCAAAGAAGGGTCCCTTCTATACCCATTGCCCTCAGCCCCACCCCAGGAAGCTCCAGGAGGAAGGCACAAATCCTGGCTCTCCACGATCCCCACAGACACACACTGCTAGCTAGGGACTCTTTAAGTCTATTGGGGACTTGGGAAACTCAAATTCCCCAAAGCAGGGGTCTCAGTCCTCTCTTTTTCTTTTAAAATTTTATCACAGAGAATTCCAAACACACCCAAAGAGAAACAGTAACTACTTATGATTATCATCCAACCCTCATTCACACTTCCATGAATATGCTGCCCCCGACACTAAATTATTCTATTTTTCCAACTGCATTATTTCTGAAGCAAATCCCAGACATTATATCATTTCATCTGTGAATATTTCAGTATGTATTTCTAAAAGATAAGGCCCTGCGGTGTAATTTAACTGTCCTCTGAATCTCCTGCAAATTGGCTGTTAGATCTAGACTCTGACGGCTCTGATAAGATTCCGGTTTTTCTTTGGTGAGACTGTTTTCGCCGGGTGGTGTGTTCTTCCATCAAAAGGCACACAGCGTCTGATCCTCTCTTCTTATTCTTGCGTTGTTAGCAGCCAATGCTCAGTGCCTGGAGGCAGCGGCTCATCCGGTGGTGTCAAAGGTTGCTTCCTTCTTTATTCACTATCTAGAATGCCTCTATAAAAGAGAAAATTTCCCTCAGCTTCTCAGGGGTAGTTTGTATCAGAAAGGAACAATAAATGCTAGATTCTTTCCCTTTATTTATCCATCTTCAAAATAAGAAGCTGGTTTCCCAGCATCTTCCAACAGTGAATAATTGTTTTAAGTATCATTATGGTCCAAGTGTTTGATGTGTTTCAATCCACTGGAGTTATTTTTCATGATTCATGTTCAAACGGTCCCATTTTTCATAAGTGGGAGCCTCTTCAAGTTGTATTCTGAGTCCTTTTGGCATGATCTTAGTTGTCTTTGAAGCGACAAACCCTTTCTCTTTTTTTCCTTTTTTTTTTTTTTTGACTCAGAGTCTCACTCTGTCGTCCAGGCTGGAGTGCACTGGCACACTCATGGCCACCACAGCCTCAACCTGCTGGGTTCAGGCAATCCTTTCGCCTTAGCCTTCCAAGTAGCTGGAACTACAGACGCACGCTACCACGCCCAGCTAATTTTTTGATTTGTTGTAGAGACGAGGTCTCGCCAAGTTGCCCAGCCTGGTCTCGAACCACTGGACTCTTCTTGCCTCCACCTCCACCAATCTTCTTGCCTCCACCTCCCAAAGTGCTGGGACTACAGGCATGAGCCACTGTGCCCAGCGCATAAACCTTTCTTAGTTGGAATCCCTGGCTTGCCCCTCCTCACACCGGATCCCCCATCCCACTCCCTCTCAGAAGACGAGGACCTTGTGCTACAAATACCCTCAATTTACAATTTTCCCCATCTGTAAAATGGGGCTAATGCTAGGGTCTTAGTGTGTTCCTGCCTTATGAAGTTGTTAAAATTAAGTGGGTTTATAATTATAAAGCATTTGGAGCCAAGTTGGGCACAAAATAAGTGTTATATAAAGTACCTGTCAAATAAATCAACAGCATTGCCTCCGTACCACTCACCTTCATGTTCCTCAGTCATCTCTCTTTTCTCCTTCCTCCAGTCTCATAGCACTGTCATCCAGGTTCCCCTCCTGGGCTGTCTGACCACACGTGTATCATTGACTCAGATCAGGACATAAACACTGCCAATTCCAGCATGAATTCATTTCCTTGGAGACAACAAAAACTCTTCTCCTGCATTCCACTTGCAGAGCCTGGCAAGCTCTCTGAATGCACGTTTCAATCTGTAGCCACAGTTTTCTAGCTTGGGCCATCTCTTCTGACCCCTGGCATGTTCACATGGCTACTGCCAGGCTCCTAGTGTGAAAGCAGAGAACGTTGATTTCAGTTGTCCTGACAAGTTGGCTAACCTTCACGCAGCCACGTTTCCTTCCACCTCAAGGCTTCTGGAGTTCTGCTGATGTGTGTGGCTGCCCAGAATGGGACCCAGACCCAGACCCAGGCAGGCTCTGAACTTGGCAATGTGCTCTTTCTGCTAGCAGACTGCTCCCTACAAATGTTGAGAAGGCCACAGGTGTGGAATGTCAGGGACCTTCTGGGTCTTACTATTTGGGTCCAAAATGGTCTAAACTATCAGGTTTCAGCCAGATAAAGGAAAAAGTAGGTACCAAAAAAGAGGTAAAGTCTAAAGGACGGTAGGAAGGGGATGACTGCCTGCAGAATTTCTTAGGCCCAAAGACTGTCTGGGCCTGCGTCCTAGCATTCTTGCTCTGGAAAGACTGGAATGTTGGGGAGGTGTTGTTCAACAGGCATCACGGCCTTCCTTGTTTGTCTATGTGGCCTGCGAAGAGGAAGTGGGAGCATAGCAGGCCAGGAAAATGCCTGCCAAATTTTAAGATTGGCTTATTCCCACCTCTTTCTGCAAAGGCCATTCCTCACCTCAGTGTCCCCTGCTAACCCCCATCTTGACCCTCTCTCATGACCAGCTGCAGAAAGGAGAGAAGATCCCTTGGCTCCAAAATGACATCCAGAGAAGCGAGGACAAGCCTCAAGAATGCCTACTCACCTGCCAAGAGGCTGTCACCGAAGGTGGAGGAGGAGAGGGAGGAGGAGGACTACTGTACTCCTGGGGCCTTCGAGCTAGAGCGGCTGTTCTGGAAGGGCAGTCCCCAGTACACCCACGTCAATGAGGTCTGGCCCAAGCTCTACATTGGAGACGAGTAAGTGCCCAGCCTCAGCCTCGCGGTGGTCTCGCCCAGGTCAGGGCAGCAGATCTTCCCAGGTCACATCCTGAGTACCTCCTAGTCATAGCTTTGGATTTTCAGATTAGTTGTTCTGTGAAAATTCGATTAGTTAGGGTTGGGCTTATCTTCCTATTACAGAAAACCCAGAAAAAAGCTTAAGCAAGATAGGGGTTTATTTCTCTCTTGCACATAAGTCTGGAGAATGATGGGCTGGGGCTGGCATGGCCACTGCAGGGTCATCAGGGACTCAGGTTCCTGTTTCTGTGTCACTGTCCTGGGTTGTGTGGCTTTCTTTCTCAAGGTTGCTGCAGGGTCCCAGATTGCTGAGAGAGCTCCAGCCATCAACTATAGGATCTAGACAGTGGACACGAGGAGAGAATGGAAGAACAAAAAGGCATCTCTCCAAAGAGAAGGTCTACCTGAGACTTACCCTGCCCTAGCTGCAAAGGAGGCTGGGAAATGTAGTCTTATAACACCATCAAGAATAAAACCAATTCTCAGGTTGATGGCACAGGAACACATCAACTTATGAGTCTGCAAGGATGTAAGCCTAAGTTGAGCTCACTGTTGCTTCCTTTATAGTCACTATTCCTCACTCCCTCAACAATTGAGATACGCCTACTATAAATAACATGAATATCAATAATGGCTATCACTTGTTGAACACTGTGCTAAGCTCCTTGCATGAATGATCTCACTTCATTCTCATAGTAACCCAATGACAGAGGTTATTTAATTACCCTCATTTTTTTTTTTTTTTGAGTTGGAATCTCACTTGGTCGCCCAGACTGGAGTGCAGTGGCCGCTCCCGGCCACCGCAGCCTCGACCTGCTGGGCTCCGGCGATCCTTCCGCCTCAGCCTGCCAAGTAGCGCAACTACAGGTGCGTGCTACCATGCCTGGCTAAGTTTTGATTTATTGTAGAGATCAGGTCTCGCCAAGTTGCCAGGGCAGGTCTCGAACCCATGGGCTCAGGCAATCCACTGGCCTCGGCCTCCCAAAGTGCTGGAATTACAGGCTGAGCCACTGAGCCCGGCCTTGTATTGAATTCTTAAGTGCCACGCCTTGTGCTAGGCATCATTTAAACTCCAAAAATACTCTATAAAGGAGGAACCATTATGATTCCTATTTTACAAATGGGCAAACTAAGACTCAGAGAGTTAATTCATTTAGTCAATCAGTCAGTAAGCATTTACTGAGCACCTTGCTAGGAGCTACGAAGGATACAAAGAGGAAACTGAGGCTCAGAGAAATTAAGGTCACACTACCAGGAGGTGGTAGAATTTATATTCAAACTCAAACTTTAAAAAATATGGTCGCCGGGCTCCGTGGCTCACCATGTAATCCCGCGCTTTGGGAGGCTGAGGTGAGTGAATTGCCTGAGCCCGTGGGCTCGAGACCCGCCTGGACAACTTGGTGAGACCTCATCTCCACAATAAATCAAAAAATGAGCCAGGTGTGGTAGCGCGTGCCTGTAGTTCCAGCTACTGGGAAGGCTGAGGTGGAAGGATCACCTGAGCCCAGCAGGTCGAGGCTGCAGTGGCCGGGAGCGGCCACTGCACTCCAGTCTGGGCGACAGAGTGAGACTCCAACTCAAAAAAAAAAAGGTCAGATAAAGCAGCTGTTTTAGAACTGAACAGAGAAGAGATGTGGAGAAACGTAACAGGGAACAGAAAGGGAAGTAGGTGGTGGAGCAGAGGGAGCGTGGAGTTTGAGCTGTGACTGCCGATTACCAGTTCTGTGTCCTTGGACAAGTTATTTTACTTCCCCTCACCTTATATGGCAACAATAATAGGATTTATTCCATAGGGTGAAGGTTACGTGAAATAAAACTGGCGTGAACAGTGTTTCAAGCCTGTAATCCCAGCACTTTGGAAGGCTGAGGTGAGAGGATTGCCTGAGTCTGCGGGTTCAAGACCAGCCTGGGCAATATGGTGAGACTTTGTCTCTATAATACATCAAAAAATTAGCCAGGCGTGGTCGCGCACGCCTGTAGTTCTGGCTACTTGGAAGGCTGAGGTGGAAGGATCGCCCTTGGAGCCCAGCAGGTCGGCGCTGGGGTGGCCGTGAGTGTGCCACTGCACTGTAGCCTGGGCAATCAAGTGAGACTCCAACTCAAAAAAAAAAAGAAAGAAAAGAAAATTAGCATTACAGTAGCATCAGGCATGTAGTCAATGCTCAGTAAATGCTTGATGTTGTTATGGATCTGAGAAAGATCACAGAAGAGGTGGATTTCAAGCTTGACTTTGTAAATGCGTAGGATTTCAGAGGAATTCCAGACAGAAGGAGCAGGATGAGAAAAGCCATGAAGGTGAGAACAAACAGGGTGTTTTATCTGGAATATAGGCGATGAGTGTGGTAAACTTTCAGAAGGTCTGAGATTAGGCCAAATTCTACTACTGTGTGGTCAGTTGAAATCAGCTGTCCTAATCTAACACGGTACCCCAACATCTCAGTGGCTTGCCACAAGAATGGTTTACTACTCACGCTGCAATCCATTGTGGGCCAGTCCTGACTCTACTCCATAGCAGTGTCACCCCAGGACCTGCACTAATGGTGCAGCTCCTATCTTGCCAAGCTTGCAGCAAAGAGAAGAGAGAGACTTGGCAAGCCAGAAAACAACTCAGAAGTGACACATGACATTTCATTGGCCAAAGCAAGTGGAGGCCAAAGCTACACATCAATGTGGCAGGAAAGCGTACTTATACCTCAGGAGGGGCAGCAAATATTCTCAACAATAACTTAACTCTGGTGTGTCCACGTGGCTCTCTGAGCTACCACTGCCATGTTTCTTAGTTTTGGCCTCCTTCCCTACCTTGGGGAGGTGAATCTTTCTATTTTTTTTCTCCCTCTCTCATTTACTTTCTAAATAAATTATATTTTCTAATCTAAAAAAAAAAAAAAAGAAATAAAGAGGCTGGGCATGGTGGCTTATACCTGTAATCCCAGCACTTTGGGAGGCTGAGGTGAAAGGACTGCTTGAGCAGTAGTTTGAGACCAGCCTGGGGAACATAGCAAGACCTTGTCTCTAAAAAAAAAAAAAATCAATAAAAATCAACCAATAAACAAGAAAATAAAATAAGAAAGAATGTGAAAGCATTTTATAAATTGTAAAGTTATAGTCAAATGCAAATGTTATTGTTACCACTGCTGCTTATGTTGCTACTTAGTGAAAAAGAAGTCTGGAAAGGTAGGCAGGGACAGCTTGTGGAAGGCTGAATGCTGGCCTAGTGACATCATTCAGAAAGCTATTGAGTGAGCAGAACTGAAGTGTTGCGGTTAATAGAGTGCCAGACAATAAGATACACTTGTCTCCTTGACATTTCACTGTGACCTTGCTTCTTTCAACCAAGAAAATGCTACTGCTCTTTCAATTCAATCGAGCCCCAAAATAAGCACACACAGGTGCATGAGAGCCACATGCCCAGCCAGGGAGGGAAGCCCAAAGTCAGCATGGCATGGTGCTTGTCCCCAATCTCAGCCCTGAGCTCAGAGCTCCCTTTTATGACACCCACTTAACAAGGCTAAAACTCACAGATGCTTACAGCAAGAGCTATTAATTCCACTGCCAACACAGCCACGCAAAGGTCATAACCTGGGCTGTGAGTAGGCAAGGCTGCTGTGTTTCTTGGTCTCTTTGTAGATGTTGCCCAAAGCAGTGAAAAACTCAGTGCTGGTTCCTCACGCAAGCCCAGATTTTAGTTTCGTATTTACATTTCAATCGGGTTTTTCCTTTCCCTAAAAGCGTCTAAGATTTTGGGATACCAAGGCTCTGGAAATGAAGGCTAGGACCCAGGAGTGTAGATGGATGTCCTGGGGCAGCCAAAGCCAGCAGGCCAGTTGCAGGGGGCCAGCCCCTGCAGAGAGATTTAGTGGGTCCCTGAAAGGTGTGGTGGCGTTGGCAATTATTCTGGAGAAATAAAGAGAGAGAAAGAAAGAGAGAGAGAGAGAGAGAGAGACAGGGGGAGAAAGAAAGAGACTGAACTTTGTCTAGTGCAGAAGCCGTTTTATTGGAAGTTACAGCAGGTATTTATCCCCAAATTTTACACAGTCTCACAAGTCTTTCACGTGAACACAAAGCCAGGTCCAAGAGGGGCGTCCCCCACCCACAAGATGTTTTCTCAGGTATGAGGAAGGACAAACCCCAAAATTGTCTTATTGTTCCCTATGCTAGTTAATGTTCCTCAGAAGCAATGCAACAATCCCTACTAGCATCATGATGCTCTAATAATCAGTAACTTCTAAAGCTCATGCATATATAACACCCATGATGACTAACTTAAATCTTATTACCTTTCTATTCTATGCTAACACTACTTACACAATTGCTATGGAAGCTCTTAATTATAGCTTAAACCAGTTCCTAAAGAATGTGGCCCAGTCCAAAGATCACGCTGGGCTCTTTAGGATGTGGCCCAGTCCAAAGTTCACAGTGGGCCACTTCTTGAAACAATTGATTACAATCTCTTAACAAAATGGCTATTCTAAGATCCTATATATCTATCCTAATTTCTATAAAAGTTTCTAATTCCTAATCCTAATATGTAAAACTGATCGTCAGTAATAAAACTTCTAAAATAAAACCCAAATACAAACTGTAAATGTACTAAGGCCAAAACCACAATAGTAGAAAGTGGAGACAATGAAATTTCTAAAGTTGACTGTATTAAGCCAGCCTAAAAGAATGCAGCCCAGTCTAAAGTACACGCTGGGCCCTCAGGAATGTGGCCCAGCCCAAAGTTCGTGCTGGGCCATTTCTGGTAACTCTAGATAATCATCTATACCATCTAAAGTTGAAAACCACTCTCCATAAGTATATACTATTCTACAAATATACTTTTAAATCTTATAAAGAAGCTTGTACCGTGTAAAAGGTTACCAAATGTGACCTGAGTTTGAATTATATCTAATACCTAAGCTGAAACCGCAGTTCATGAGAAACAGGAACAATGAGTTTCTAGAGTGAGCCATGCCTGC